ACAGCTGGATGAACTTTTTCAGATTCCTGAAGTATTTTTCTGGATGCATACATCTCCCTGTGGGATCAGTTTGAGACCTGTGTTTGAGAAAGAATTTTGATCATAGCAAGAAGGAAGAAAGGCTGCTTGGAAATTTGATGCATGATAGAACAATAGAAAAAGAATATGTGAGAGACGAAAAACCCGAACTACAGTTGACTCCAAATGTAAGATTTCTATTCCATAGGAGGGGGTAAAATAATGCCCAGTGAAAACACTGTAGGTAGGGGCTAGCTTCATCGTACAGACCTTAAGTGTGTATGGGCTAAAGAGGCCGGACAGAGAAAATATGAGAGGATCTTTTATTATCTCAGATGGGGAACTAGGATCGCAAATGACTACAGCGATGATCCTTGTAGATTTTTGTATCTATGTTCAATGTTGCTGGAGCTTTACTTTGACGCATAAGCCTGCATATTTATGTCTAATTTTAGAGCATTGGTCAGCACTTACCCAGAGATACAGAGAGTTAGCTCCCAGCTCTGCTGAAGGGCTGAGATATCATAGCTTTTCAGGCCAACACCATCATGGCAGAATCTTGTCTTACTATGAGTATGAGGTTTACTATGAGTGTCTTGCAGCCATTAGTGAATGCTGTTTATTCTTAATGCCTGTTGAAATCACTGGCATTTCTGCATATAAAAGTCTTGTGGGATTATCTAGAGCACTGATTATAAAATGGACAATCCTTACCTTATCCAAAATATTAAAGAAGGTTTCCCAGTGGGTAGTTTAGAGTTCTGCCTATAATCAACTTGTTGAGACCTTGAGAAGTTTCTTCCCTCCACGTCCCCCAGTCCCACTATGCTCCCTTTCTGCTGTTGCCTTCAGTTTAACATCAGTACCAAGGCATTAAAAAATACAACATTCATTTTCTTTGTCCTAATAATATCTATCCTTTGGAAGACCTCTCTGGATATGCTGGGAGCAGTCAGCACTGCAGTATCCAGGACTTGCATATTGCTTGTAGTGCTGGATTTGACTGCTCACAGTGAATCAGCTGGATTGCTTGTTGTTGATTTCTTTACATTTTAAAGCACCCTTTGACAAACTCTTTATCCTTTCGACAACTTTTGCTTCCACTGACATGAAGATTATTATTGCTTTTCACTTCCAGACTGGTTTATGTCCTCAGTCCTTTCAGCTAGAGTTTTAAAGTAGTGAAGTGCTTATTTTAGTGATGAAGCTTTGGAGTTCTTGACCCTTTTTACGTGAATGTTTCACTGATCTCTCATGTTGTACTGGATGTTGTAATTTTGTCTTTACAATTGACAAATTTCAGAGGAAAGTAATGTCAGCTCTGTTTGCATCCTATGAATGAAATGAAACAAATTTTTCTAAATAAAAATCTGCAGAAGAGATAGTGCATTACGAAATTCTTGCAAACTCATGTTGATGGGCTGAATATTTATTGTTAGTTACAGTCCTGTTTACTTTTACTTTCACTTAAAATTTGACTTTAGTTAAATGTAGTTAAATTTTACTGCACTTCCCTCCTCTCTCCTCTTTGCTGTAAAAGAAATGAAGAATTTTTAACACAGATAAAACGCAGCCCACTCCTCTGTGTGCTTATCCAGCACACAATGCTTTGAGAGGACATAGCCTCCCACAAACACAGTGTCTCCTGAAGCATGTATGGGCTCAACAACAGCAACTATTACACGTTAGGAGGATCCATTTTGTCTTTCTGCCGTTTCAGCTCGCTTGACTGATAGTGAATGGGACTAGAGGTACACACCACCTTTGTCTCCATTGATTACTTTGTTTGGTTTTAATCTTCTGCAGCTCTTCTGTGGAGGGAGAATTAAAAGCTTTGAGTTGCAGCTGAATATTGTGTAGGGATCCCTGACTTCTTGTACATTTTCTTAAGGCTCTGAAGTTCTGTTACTGTTTCTCTGTATTGCATTAGGGTCCATATGTTTCTGTGCAAGTCAATCTCATTATGCCAGAAGGTGGAAAAGGTGAAGTTTTATTTACCCCCCCCCCCCCCGCCCCCCCCAAATATTTATCTTTCCTTTCTGGTATCTCTCCTAGCATAATTTGTTGGGTAGATCTAGAATGGTACATCTTCCAGGCATACTGATATAGGTGGAGTACCTAGAGAAGCACAGCATACTTACAGTTTATTCATTCTTTTATTCGACATGTTCTCTTGCTTATTTAGCTACTGTTATTAATATTACTTTTATACCTAAAATTCAAATGTTAGAATGGGTATTAATCTGAGGATTATAGTAATTAAAATAAAACTCATTAGCATTTACTCTAAATGGAGTCTGAGTCTTCAGACTCTTCTAATGAAATCAGTGAAGCTGTGGTCATGAATGATCACGATGGGAATGGAACGAGAGCTGCAGATCAGTTTGCAGCATAGTTACATTTTTTTTCCTTAAAAAACCCCTCTTTTTTTTACATTTGATAATACAGTTGTCAAATTCTGTCAAGTAAAGTTTCTCAACAGTGCTGCAAAATATAATAATCTGAGTTGTGCTTTTAATTTTATCACAGTTGTTTCCTCTGCCTCTGATTTATGTTGGAAACCACATAAGTGGATTATCAAGTACCAGCAAACTCAGGTACAGTAAATGGAAGTTATAAGTAGACTGTTTGGATTTTACCCTTTGCTTTTGTGGAGGTAAAAAATAAACGCTAAAGAAGAGCATTGCATAGGGACTGAAAAACATGCGATGTCGGTCTGTCTGTCTAAACCCCTGATACTATTATGAAATTCTTAGCCAAACATTTGAACTGTTTGTAAGTTGTATGCTTCTTTTAATGGGGGCTTAGCCAGGCCTGTACTGACAGAAAATCACAGTACTCCTCTGTGACAATGAAAGTGCTTTGCCTTCGCCTCGCACCCAGGCATCCAGGTTTTCCTGAGTGTCCTAACCACAGAGTTTGAGAGCTGTAAGAAGGACGTTTTTGAAGGAGGAATAATAAAGGAAAGGTTTGTACCATGATGTTGGTGCAGGTTATTTAGGAACCACCAAGAGATGGAAAGACTACTGTGTAGTGGGGTGATGGTGGCAGCCTAGCCCTGCTGAGCATCAAAAGCAGGTTGTGGGGAGATTGCTGAAGGGTTCGCTTGCTCCTGTATATCTGTAAACATAGATCCATGAGAGTTGCTTCCATGCTAGTGCTAAGAAGGTATAAGTTATGTAGGGGACCTGCTGTAATAGATTCGATGACCAAATTTTCTGTGGAAGAGGAGTACAGAGGCATGATGGCTGCACCAGGATTGGAGGATACAGCACTACCGTAGTGGTGGTTTCTTGTATGTTACTACAGGCTCCTGAGGATTTGGTACTAAGCCAAACCAAAATGGAGAATTTTGCACATTTTCAGCATTTCGTAACTTTGAGACAGATGCTAGGAGAGAAAAGGTATTACTTTTAATTTGTTTACATTTCTTTTTATTTATAGAATTAATTTTCTCTGACTAGCAGCATGAGACACCTGGTTGTGCAAGTCTTTGTTGTACATGTTCAGAAGTTGTTCTACTGAAGTGACTGTTCAGGCAGATATAAGGATTTCGGCAGTACTGACCCTAGTAGCGCTTCAGCCATTGTGAATATGGAAGTAGTTTCAGTCCTGTAAAAGTTTGATTCATGGGTTCATCTTTCCTGTTTCCTTAACCGTAATTTTAAAATAAAAAGTTTATAGGTTATTTTATCATTAAGTGCACAATCTCCTCCTCCAATGGCTGACGCGCCTCTTTTACATTTACTATTCATAACTAATTTTTATAACAGAAAAGTAAGAACAGCTGCAGTGTTTCTACCATTAACATTTTTTTACATTGCATTTTGTTAACATGATGTGACATTTGTTTACATTATGGAATGTTCTACCTTGTTTGGCTTGTCTGTAAGGTGTAGATAATCCTATGCATAACTTCAAAATGTCTGTGGTAAAGTGATTAAACACTGTATTAGGATTTGGATCATTTATTAATGCAGTTGCTAATATTTATCTTAAACAGAGGATTAATTGGTCCATATGGCCATGCTGTCAGGTTTCCATAGTGTCAGATGCAAGTGTTTTCTCAAGTTAATCAAAAAGGTTTCTAACTGCATTACTTTGTGGAGCCCAACAATATGTTGTTCAAAAGTAGCTGTTTGTTTAGTAGTTGCAGCTGGTCCCACGCCTTTCATGTTTCTTGTACTTTCTCAGATTTTTGGATTTATGTTACTTTTTTTGAAAGTACAGCTTGTTTACTAAGCGTGTTTACTTTGTATTTTATTTCTGTTATATGTTTTCAGAGACAGGTTTATTGCATATCCTGTAAGTTTACCACAGAAATAATTTTTACTTACCCTGCCCATGAATTCTACAGAAAGAATTATTTCATAGGGGCTATGCTAGGTAGAAAATAGCTTTTATATTCCATTTCACTGGTGCAAAAGGACCTTTTAGAAGGTAGTCAGTTGCATTGTTTTACAAACTGGCAAATCTTGTTATTTTTCAATGATTTGGTTATCTAATCTGCCTCTAGTGTCAGACTGACATTTTTTAATATATGCTAAGTGGCTGGGAATTTGTTTTGGTTGCTTATTGCTGGAGTAATGGTTTCATCCTCTGGTTAGTAAAATTAGATAAGAATTAGAATATAAAAATGCAGTTAATCTGATGCTATGCTTGGATTTTTATTTTTTTTTGACAGTTTGCCGATGTTTACAGTGCTCAGGAAGTTTACCATTCCACTTACTTTACTGCTGGAAATCATCATACTTGGGTGATCCTTTTTTTTTTTTTCCATTTAAGATACTTTTGGTTTAGATCATATCAAATGGATTACTTGTGGAGTCTCATCAGAATGTTGAATGCTTGATTTTTACTGACAAATAGAGAAAAGCAAAGGAAGTAGTTTTCTGTAGATTTTTCCGAAGAACTAGGTACATGCATTTTAGGGAATACAGGAAAAAAAATTAAATTGTTCTCATTTACGCAGCTCATTCTCTTGACTCTTGCACAGGAATCAGGTAAGTAGAGCACAACTCAGACACTTTTAGCAATTATGTTTTGTGTCCTGTCTCAGAGACCCCTAAGCTGCAAACTGCTTCAAACAGACAGATCCTTGTGTCTCACAACAGCAATGATAGTATGGCAGTCCGCTTATATAGAGTAGCTTTCTGGGTCAAGTCTGAAAACATACCAGTTTAGTGAAGGAAACAGAGTCCTGTTAGATCAGAAACTCCTTAATTACAGATACCTCTGTTAATTTTAACAAGAAATTAAGAAGTGTATGCTATTGCAGCTTGGGATCACTAGTTTCAGTTGTACTGCCTTGGAAGAACAGGATTATAAATACATCATACTTTGTCGCCATCATAGTTGTATCCAGAGGCTTGTGCTTGGTTACGGTGAGGTCACAAGGGGAAAAGCAGCTTGCTGAAGCTGAACCCAGACAACATGAGAGTGATGATCAAGGGAAAAGCTTTTCAAAAAGCCCTGAAGTAAACTGTCATCTCCTTTTGGCTAAAGCAGCAGTTGATCAATGTGATTCATATTTGGGGATGCTCTGGGATTATTTTCTAGTTGTAGGTTCTCATAGGGAAAGCAGAACTTGCTGCCTTCTGTTGACTTGGGGGCTCCCGCAAGCAAGTGAGGAAAATATGAGTCAGTGAGGCTGTCATCAGTTCTCACCTGGACTACAGCAATGTGGTGTATGAGTGCAAGCAACATTCTAACCTAAGGGAAGCTTAAGAGCAGAATGCTCTACTTGTACAGGCTGCCGCAGGGTATTTCCTCAGGGCTGAAAATGAAAGGACTCCAGAGAGTCTATGCTGCCTTACCTCAGGATTTGAAAAGCAGTCAAGGTTTGCGTTGTTAGTGTCAAGAGTCGTTATGATCAAAGCCTAGTGTGTCTAGAGACTGCATACAGCTTTGTTGTTGAGGCAGTGGTCCACAGCTGTGTTCCTTTGACACACAGGATTTCTCCAAGAGCATTGTACATTTTGTTTTGATGGATCTTTTCTCACAGGGCAGCTCAGGGCTGGGGACTAGCCTGAGAGAATGATTAGGGGAATGTCTTTAAGGCACATTGTAGTATGGTACAAAAATAAGTACTTAAGACATGTCTAAATAAAGTAATACAGGTATAAGAAGCAGAATAGTTTTATGGTATGCTTTTCCCTACTCTGTGGCACTGCTGATACAGATATAGTGAAGAATATCATAAGCTTTCGTGCTTTCCCCTTCAGGTACAAGGTTTCAATTTGACTTTAAAATAAATATCTATTTGAAAAATAGCCCAGGTAGTGTGCTGTACAGCATCTTCCCCAGCAAAGGTGAGATGAAAAACTACATGAGACATATGTAGTGATTTTCCATTACTGGATTACTGGAAGGCACTGAAATATGTCCATTATTAATACCAATGCACAGTAAATTACAGTTTGTTCCAGCGCTGTTACTTTAGACCTTTAATGTTTACTTTTAAAATTATCTAGTAGCAGAATGCTCACAATCCTTTTTCAGTATCTGTTCTTGGGGGCCAAGGTCTGACAGCATGGCACGTGGTCAATCACATTGCTTCTGTAAGGTTATCAAGACTGTGCCGTCCTGTTAAATGTTCTGTGATTACTAATTGATTTGAGACTTTTCAGGTAGACAGCCATTTAAACTCCTCTTCAAATAATGAAAAAGTGAACTGTCTAATTTTTGTCTGCAGGAAACGATACCCGCTGAGTATTATAGTCAGCGTATTTGCCATCATTCTTGGGGCTTTCATAGCAGCTGGGTAAGGTTTTCATTTGTTATATGAAGTCATGTTATGAGAGGAGGGACAAGAGGAGGATTTTTTTCTTGTTAAGTGCCAAGTAAACCTGTGTTAAGATCAGTTACTCTGGATTAAGAATTGGAAAATTTCTGCTGACATCATTGGGAGGTGCAAGAATACAGAGGGAAAAATTTAACTACAGCTGGAAGTATTAGGGTGCTTCTTTTTTCCCCTCTAGGTTTTACATATTTGCAGGATCATAAATGAAGCAAGTTAAAACTGTGTGAAGAAGGCTGCTTTCATTTCATAGTGTCAGTGCATTTTAATAATCTTAGAAAAATATATTCTTGTTCTGGACAGAAAGACTGATTTTTTAGTTGTCAGATATTGTTTTGAGTTAGGCAATGTGCATTTTTTTAATCACTTTTAACAAGTTCAAATGTGAGATCAAGTTCACAAAGCACTCATATGCTAGCCTCCTCTGTTTTCTTTGTTTGAATATTCCTTTACTTAACTGGAAATGTAATGTTATTCTTTGTTTCTTGTCTTAGCTATGTACAAATGTAAATAATTTCCATGTGATGTGACTCGGGTAGGACCATGTCCTGTCAAATGAATAACCCTATATCCATGAGGTAACTGGTCAAAACAGAAAAGATGACAATATGTCTGGTCTGACTGCAAAAAACGAGTAGTCAGACTTTATTTCGTAGCTACTTTTTGTGTTAAAAGAAAAAGATAATTATACTCAATAATAATTGGACAGATTGTCAGGATTGAGACAGATGGAATTTTTCACAAAATGAAAACTGAACATTCTGCACTGGGAACTGGGAACTCTCTGGTGACTCATTTGTGATGGAGTCACTCCCGTGACTGGAGAAATGTGAAGTATTTTGATTGACAAAGAAGGCTTAAAGCAAAACCTGTGACTTGCTGGAGTTCTCAGGATTTGCATTTCCTCATTTATGATATTTCTCTAGGTAAACAAGGTAATGCAATGCATTGTGTACTGTTTGCTTATTTACAATATAATATTTCTTTCCCAGGTCTGATCTGTCTTTTAATCTAGAGGGCTACACCTTTGTATTGCTAAATGATATCTTCACAGCGGCAAATGGAGTTTACACAAAGCAGAAAATCGATCCAAAGGTAACTGGGGTGATTAAGTTGAATTTAACATTATGACAATATGGTAGCAGTGGGTTACTTATTATATGACTTCAGGAACGTACAGTTGCGAACTAATAAATAATTTTATTTGCTTTTGTACTTCAGTTGATATATGCATTCTTAATATGGAACAGCCTGGGAAAAACTTGTTAGTATCTCAGGCCAGGCTTAGATAAACAGTGTATTTTATTTCTCTCAAGTCTTTTAGGCAGAGTTTGTAGTGGCTTTAAAATGTTGCTTTTGGCTAAAAAAAAATGAAATAAATCCAAACCAAAAGCAAATTGTTTATCGGTAAACTTGATATCTATATCTAAGGAAGATGACTTTTTGACTGGAAACACACTTTAAGTCAGGTTTATGTAAAATAAACTTGTGGGTAGGAACAGAGACCTGTCCAGTTTGAGTCAATAACCACAACAACTGATATTTTTTTTTGCTATCTAAAAGCAAGTCTACATGAAACCCAGGTATGCCAAAGAGTTAGGTGATACCTCGATACATTACACTTTATGTAAGCATTGAGCAGACTGCTCTTCAAATACAGTGCCATGAAAACATACCAAGCCATAGCGAAGAGCAGTCTTGGAGATGCTGGGTGGAGGTTTTGTCACTGACTTTTGTGGTTCAGTCTGTACAGTGGAAATATATATCTTTTAATAATCTCAGGAGTCACATCAAATCCAAACTCTGCATTTTTCTTTGTGAGCAGCACTTTTCTCACAGTTTTCTGCAGAATACACGGTTTCATTTTAAAGTAAGCGAGAAACTGGAGAGATTTGCTAAGTAGCATGGCTGAATCTGGAGGAAGGGAAGGCTGCTGTTTCATTCTCCTAATCTTCTGCCTTTGTGTCAAGCAAGTTAACCAAGAGGATACCTGGCATCCCTCACATTGCTTAAAGTTACATCAATTGCCAGTGGTTACAGATTCTCCATTTAGGAGCCAGACTTCATTAATTTTCCTGTTATGCTGGCCCCAGGGAGCCACCCTGCCCTTTGCTTTTGTGGTTAATTTGCAGTAGATGGAACGGATAATCCCTTGGCTGGGCAGAGACTTATGTGCAGTCTTAACACAAAGCAGTTCTGGACCAGTGCCTTGGGAAGTTTCAGACTAACTGATGTTGTATAGAAAGTGTCCAAGGTATAGCAGAGCGGTAATATTCTACTGAGCATACAGACAAACTGACTGAAGTAGAAACTCAGCTCAGTACGAAACACTGAATCCAACAATTGCAAGCTTGTATTTTAAATTGAAATGTATTATGTTTTGTCTGCTCATTGACAATAATGTCAGAAGGATTGCTAGAGTAATATTGGATACTTTGCTCCCAAATGGCTTTTAATTCCAAACACCATGTTTCATTTTTCACAGGAGTTGGGAAAATATGGTGTCCTTTTCTATAATGCTTGTTTCATGGTGGTTCCAACAGTTATTATTAGCTTTTCTACTGGAGACTTTCAACAGGTAAGGAGCAATATTGCATATCTCAGACTGATAATGGTATTTTGTTCCATTTTTTCAGTTGGGGGGAGGGTGGGTTTTCATGTTTATTTTTAAAGAGGTAATCCTACCTCCTTATTATTGACTAGTATTTGAAATATGTGACTTCAACTTACCCTTCACAGGTAGGAACTTGTAATTTTTCACTCTAAGGAGAAGCTGAATTGGTGTGATGACCCTTATATGAATCTTTGTTTAAGAACTAATGTATGGCTGGGGACTCTCAGCTAGAGCAATTGGTTGGGAATCCAGCTGCACTGTGTGATTTGCCACATGCTCTAAAATGAGATTGCAAATACCAAAACGAGACAATTTCCAGTCCTTCTCTCATTCTGATGCACAGAACAGATTCCTGTTTAGTCTCAGTCTAGTTTAGTAACCTACATTTTACATTCTCATAGAATGGCAGCATGACTCTCCATAGCCAATCATAATACAAATCATAATACAGTATAATACCGTAGGCAATATGTCCTAGCATGGAAAGTGTCAGACCAGGAGGTTTGTGTTTTTCTGGCTCCTTCACAGACTTGCTGACTTGCCTTTTTCCATCCAGTAGAATGAGCCTAGGCACTCGTATTCTTTTTTGGAAATGTTTGAGATTTGCCACTGAAAATTGTTACAGAGCTTGGGGTTGTCATAAATCATTCCAGTGTCCTTTGTTGTATGTTGTTGTGCCCTGGACTCACGTAATTTTGTCGTTGTTTTCTTAGTAGTCTGCTTTAAGTGGAAAAATTGTCGTTCTCTGAAAATGATGGATTTAGATCTGCTCTGAATGTGAAATCTCTTCTTGTGATGTCAGTCCAGCATGACCTTGTGCCAGTTTAGGAAAATGCAGCTGATGCCCTTCTTGGCAGATGTAATGGGGGCCAAGTTTGTATGGCTGTAAGGTTTCCACTGCTTTCCCAGCAGACAGGGCTGAAGGCTTTTTGGGAGAACCAGACAGGGAAGTTTGCCTTGTTGCTAGGTTTATTCCACGGGAAAAAAAAAGAGTGTGTTGTGCCCACATGTTGATTTGGCACGAAGAGTTTAATGCTCAATTACCTGAAAAGACTAAATAACTATCAGAGAAATCCATAGTGCCTATTGTGCATATGCATTGGCTTGGTCATTTAGCATTAAAAGTCCCGTTAAATGATGTGGATAACTAGTGTCAGTGTGGTGCACAGGGATTAAATTGCAGAAAAAAGGGAGAAAATGGAAAAACACTGATGGAAAGTCAACAAGTCTTTGTAGATAACACCTGTATTTAACAGATTTTCAAGCCATGGAAGTTGACTTGCTTTTACCCCAGCAGAGCTTTTTGCCTTGATGCATCCCAGAAAACGCACAGCATGTATATTTTGCCAGTTGAAATACCAGTACTGTGGCTATGTGGTAGGGAGATTGTTTCTGCTCCTCTAGCTAGTTCTGGAATGCTAACTACCACATCTTGTAGAGATTGCAGTTTGTGAGTGTCCCAGTTATTCACTTCTCCTTCACCAGCTGACTGACTAGGAGGACAGGAAAGCATGATGCAGTGGAAGAGAAAGGAAGCCCCAGCATATCTCTCTGTAATACTTTGTTGTTGGACACCAGCGCAATTCCAACAGGGCAGAGCTGCCCGAGATCCCTCTAATCTTTTACTTCAAGTGGTGGAAGCTCAGCTAGCCACAGCTCAGCATGGACTAACAGCCTTTACCCTGTTTCTCAGGGGTGTGTTCAGCCTTTGCTGAGTTTTGTGCTGATACAGGTGACCTCAAGCCACCCAGGTTAAAATGAGGCAGTCACTAGAGATGGAAAAGAATCTGTGACATGTTTCTTAGTGACTGTTATGTGGCACCATGTGTTTGTTTGCTGCACAGCACTAAGGAGCAGATTTCAAAGTGATGGTTCAGCCTCTTCATTGACGTTCCTTGGTGGGACACCTTAGTAATGGTTATTTAATCTGCTTTTGAGCTCAAAAATGCAGGCTTGGATCTTAAAAGCTGTTCATGAATGAATCTATGGTCTGAAATAGATTTCAAGGAGATTATTTATTTATTTGCTGCTTCTCTCTGTCTCATATCAACACTATTTATTATATAATATTAATCACAGTGTTGGTATCTGTATTAATAGATATAAAAACACAAACTGTCTGTATTGTATTTATATTCATTGCTTGCAGTGTGCAGCTTTATGTCTACACCACTGTACATGTTACAAGAATGTGTCTAGGTATCATGGGTGCTGCCATCGTGTTGTCTCTGAAGTTAAATGTGTCAAACGCATTCCAGTAATAATATAAATGTTTCATAATTATAACATGAATCAAATGTATTTTGTGATTTTGCACATTTTCATATTAACTACATTTTATATGTGTTTACAGTTGATTATATAGCACATAATTCTTACTCTTCCTTTTTTTTTTTTTTTGATAGGCAACACATTTCCAGCAGTGGACAAATTTTTTGTTTGTCTTTCAATTTATTCTTTCCTGCTTGTTGGGGTAAGGACACAGGTCAATCAAGTAAGATGTTTTAATTGCAGTGTTTCAAATTGCAAATCTCAAATGTAAGACTCACTAATAAGTTACGTTAAAATTCAAAGAAAATGTATTTTTCCCCCAGGCTTCTGTCTTGTCTTTTAATGATTTCTAATACTGTAAATAACTGTTTCAGTACTATCTGTGTTGTTGACCTCACAATACAGTGATCAACAACATGACATTTAGCTTTTTACTTTCTGTACTCAGTATCTCTCCACTGGCCATCTCTTCTGGTTATGAACTTCTTTGCAGTTAATAGAATGTAAGCCCTTTAGTATAGGAACTGTTTCAGTGTGTTTGTTCTTTAAAGTACCTGGAAAAGTATGGGAGACTCATAAGGAAACAATGCTTTGTTCCTCTTGGAGCTACAGAGTCAAAAGAGGAATAGAAAAATGGGTTGGATCCTATTCTGCTCTTTCACACGTCGCCAACCAAGGGGTCAAACTAACTTCAAATACAGACATTTAGGAAGCACAGAGGGTAGGGACGACTCTGCTAGAGCTCAAGCAGCACATTTCAGCGTGTATTTTGAGTACTCTGTATATACACATTGGTAACTTAAAATACAGATCCACAGAATCTTTTTTTAGGGTTTGCAACAGGTAGGTTTGAAGATCCCAGCAAAATACTGATCCAGAAAATGTTGAACATTTCAAAGTGTTGCTAAACTTCTGAGCTTCCTGGGAGGAATTTCTAATATTTTCTCCTTTATTTAGGTTTCTCTTGATGTATTCTACTGTCCTGTGCAGTTATTACAATTCTGCGCTCACAACAACAGTAGTTGGTGCCATCAAGGTGAGTTATGGAGCAGAAGAGGGAGATAAGAAGACTCAAATAGACAGGGAAGAGTATTGACTCAGCAGTCATCCTGATTATGCTCTGTAGCTGGAAATTCAGAGTGAGGGCTAATACTGAGACACTGCTTGTGCCAAACAAGATCACACCACAAAGTGACCTTGTTCTCTGCCATTGAAGCTCAGGTGTACTCTAGAAAGCAATGTGAGTATTGATTTATTTTTATTTTTCCTATAAGAGAAACTTCAGCCACTTTAATTAAAAGATATACGTTTAACCACATTTCATCAGGTACTGTCACCTGCTTCTGTTTTTTATGAGGCTGCAGTCCCTGGCTTCTGTTCTTTATCTGTGAGTTACTCAAGGTGGCCTGCTGCAAATCCATTGCAAACTGATACAGACTAACCCACTTTCACTTTGGACTGAACTAACTTCTGTTACAGAATAATGGCTAAGCTGTAGTAAGGAGTGTATTTCTTTATGGTTAACTGCTTCAACCTCTGTGTGAGGACTTGTATTCTAGCTGAATGGACTATTTCATTTTGGTTTGTATAAATTTGGGTCAATTTGATCAACGCCAAAACATGCGTGTCTTAAAAACTATCCTTACAGTCAGTTTTCTCTATCCCAGTTTAGTTTAAAACCAGTGCAACTTCTCTGTGTTGGTGACGCCAGCGTGTCTGAACTGGCAACATCACTGACTGCCCAAGCACCTTTTTGTAAGCCAGTTTGGAGAGAAGCATGGAGCTGTAAACTGGAAGAGTTTTAGGAAAAGATAAAACTTGTGCAGTTGTGGGCTGGAAACTATCATAATCCAAACTAGCTTAGGCAGTAGTACTCAAGGTGCACCCTTACATGGGTGACTAAGGAAAACAATACCTCCAGCGTAACAAAATCTGCAAAAGGAAGATGGCACTTCTCTTTCTACAGTTGTTGTTTTTTTTTTTTTAAGTGGCAATATTAATCTAGTAGTTTTCATTCTGTGGCCCTGAAAGCATTCTTTTAAATTTTATATGTCTGCTTTGAACCATTAAGATAGAGCAACATTGTTTCTGTTTTCTGAGCAATAGTAGTCTTCGAGACATTTTAAACAGCTTTAAAGTTGAGAAACACTTTATGATGCAGTAGTCCCCAGTGGAAACTGGTAGAAATGATGTCATTGTCCAGGCTAGCTGTGAAAACATTTGAAACCAATGAAGTCTTGGTAAAATGATCACAGAGTTCTATAGCTTTCGTTCTGTCTATAGAGGACAGTTTTCCCAAAACTTGATGGGGGCAGGGTGAGGAGTAGAATCTTTAACTTTAAACTGTGCCTGCCTTGAACTTGAGCCAAGTGCTTGCAATGCACATTTAGTTGGCAAAGGAAGGAGGTAACCTTTTTAAAGCAATAATAAAGAGCTTTTATTGTGACTTTAAAGCGTACTTTTTATGCATGAGAATGCAAAACCTGCTTTTAAGAAAAGGTATTTGAAAGGAGCCTTCCAAAGATTAAAAAAGAATTACATTTTCAGAAGGTAGCCATAGTTCCATTTTGCCTCATATCAAATAGCTGATTTTATTTATTTATTTTCTTTCCTTTTTTTTTTCCCCCAGAAAGTCACTCCCAGTGCACTGTGTGCATTTATAAAACATACTGATTTTATTATTTTATTTCGCTGTTACATTACCCGTAAGGGTGACATCCCATCAAACTAATTTAAATGCTGATTTTAGAATGGCCAGCAACAGAGTATAGCTGTTGCCTTAGAAAAGTAAATTAATTGATATAGTTTATATTCTTGGAGATGAAAACTGACTTCAATAAATGCATGGCTTTTGTTTCCTTTCAGAATATATCCATTGCTTACATCGGAATGTTGATTGGTGGAGATTACATATTCTCCGTGTTAAACTTTATAGGGCTAAATATTTGGTGAGTGGAACTTGAATAGCCTTTCTTTGTTAAAGCCTAAAATTTCTCAGTGAGATATGGTTTTATATTTTATCTGATTTTGCCCACTTGGGTGATACAGTTTTGAAACTACTGGCCTGAGGAGGCAGTGCTTCAGATGTAAAGTTCATTATAATTAGTTATGTCTTTTCATGCCTGTTTTCAGATATTGAATCTTACTGTGGTAGGATCTTAACTATAGAAACATGCCTGCAGTTTTACTATGTGGGATTGAGTTCATTCTTTTTTTGTGAGCAGCAGTTCTGAGCTCTGAGGCTTCCAAGTAAAAGCCAAGTGATGTGGAAAGTGAGAACATTGACTGAATAAGTTGTACCCATTGAATATGAGTTATGTCTTGTGAATTGTTACTTTTTGTGCTTGGACGAACTGTTACATCTGTTTGTGTGAATCTGTTGGAGTAACTGACAATTCATTTTTGTCTACTTGGGGCTAGTTTCTCAGGTGGCTTATATAGTTCTGAGACACTCCTAATTTATGCTAGCTGGTATTCTTTAATCCTTTGGAAGGAAAGGTACGTACCTATAAAATGGTATATACAACGTCAAGTCTATCTGACACCTCTGTTCATTCTCTTTTCTTTAGTATGGCAGGAGGACTGAGGTACTCATTTTTAACCCTAAGAGGAAACAGCAAGCCTACACAACCTGAGGATGAAGAGAATGCACTTCCTGAGTCAAAGATATAGCCAAAATGCCTACCTTGAAAGAGACTGAAGATACAAGTTTGTTTAGCATTGCTGAGAACTTAAATAAGTATATGCTGGAACATATTTGGAACAAGAAAGAGAAAATCTACCTCAGTTGCCACAAATGTGCACATGGTTCATCGGTTCAGAAATATTCTTGCACACCAAGTTTTTTACATGTGGACAAGTTTAATTTTAGCTTTCTTTTACATCACAAGCCAATTTATATGAAGGAATACCATGAGTAAATCTCAAGTTGTAAATTTCTTCATTTACCTGTACTTTGGTGCTATTTCTACTCAACAAGGTTTGTGAGTTCTGTTTCAGTGTCTGCCAGTACTCTCTGAGGCAAAATTCCCTGTAAAGGTCATGAGGCTTGATTCACCATTGCCTTATGCCATATGCAAGCTTTGATATCAGTGAAGAGATGAAAGACGCTAGTGATTCAGAATGATTTCATGTATGAATTTACTCTCGTGTAAGTGATGTAGAACGTATGAGGCAAAGAGGAGATGCATCCTGTGTAAGAGTTGACTAGAGAATTCAGGGTATGGCCTAGTGTCTTTGGTATACATTGTGTAGACATTCTGAAATCTTTTCCTCATCCTCAATAACATCATGATGTTCTGCTGCAGTTGGCACTGCTGTTATACATGAACCCTTGTAACTTTGCTGCAGGATCAAGGACAGCAGGAAATTGAGAGAGGATTTTTTAATATTTAAAAAGATTTTTTTGTGTGTGAGCCAGTACCAAACAGGTAATTAGGAGAGATAACAAATGTAAATCTATTTTTGTTAAGGTACATTCATCTTTTTATATCACAGTTCCCTTCTCTGATGTTTTGTCTATATCTACCTTTTAATGCTGCAGAGAAGTGATGCTACTATGTACAAACTACAAGAGGGGAAACTGATTGGTATATGGAAGACTAACTTGTGTTTAAATGAGGAGAAAGAATCGGTAACCTGTTGTGTCTTACATATGCAATGAAAGCTTATCTAGTACTAGTTTACACTTAAAATTCAGAGCAAGGAATCATAACAAGCCCAGGGGGTTGCTATAGTGGGTAAAGTGGTCCAGTGGTGAAAAAAAAAGGTCCAGAATATGGTGGTCTGCATTATCATCTGGGACAATAATGGCACTGCTCTGTATCTTTATTTCCTTCTCTGAAAATACAGTTGATAATGCTTACCTGTGTCTCTAAGGATATAGCGTTAATCTTTGAAAACATGGTAGGAGCATTGCAGTGCTGGAAGACATAATTAATCTTGTTGAAGTTCTCAATTCCCTGAAAGCGTAAGCCAAGATTTTTTAAAATAATCAAATCCAAAGAAGATTTTGGAAGACCTTGACATGGAACCAGGGTGATCTAATGACTTGTTTGATGCCTGCTTGAATTAAAATACAGCTAAATCTGAAAAGCATTACTCTCTGTGTAAGTCATGAATGACCAGACTGGATTAAATCTAAGAAACATGAGTGGCTCACACCAGAAGCTTCAGGGAATGACTGGGCTGCCCACTGCCTGCGTGTCTTTGAACGGCAAGAGGAGCAGCGACTGCAGATACAAGAAGTGGAATTTAAGGGCACAGTTGATGGAAACAGAAGTCACAGTTCGTCAGTTTGTCACAGATGGCGAAGCGATATGACTTTCATTTTCTACGTATTGAAGAGCCGGGGAGGGAAACGGTTGCGGCAAATATGAGAGAGAGATCTTCTGTTTTTAAAGATTTCCTGTATACTTAAAAAGCCTTCAGTATTTTTGAGTGTATTCTTTTATAGGACTCCTCTTTCCCCAGATTGTCTCTACCTCCAGAATCCTACTTATTGAACCTCAACTCTCTGCAGTGGGACAAGACATTAGAAGGTTTTCATTAATTATGAAAAGATTATGAGAGACATTTGGTTGCAATACTGATGGACACACAATGGTTTCTGCTAAATAAGAGGTAGTTCCCACAAAGAAACAGCTACTGTGTGCATTTAATTAATTAATATTTTGCTCTACCTTTTATAAATAAAGATACACAGATTACAGTTTTAACAAGTGTTTTGAGTTTTGTGTGGATGGAGACATAGAATGCTTTCAAGCACACATACATGTCACAAATATTTGCTTTCTGTATGATCAACTGCTATAATGTACTTGAGGTAGTTTCATTAGTTCATTCTGTACTATAGTGGAAGTGATTTTACTTAGTACATTGTTCATGTCATGTTTTTGAAGTGCTTCATACTTAGACTTCTCACCTAAAATACAGACCTGATTCTCACAGTCTTTATCATAGTATTACTCACAATCATTTAAAAAATAAATTTAGGAGTAACAAGAAGTAGGTACTGTCTAGAAGAACTTGCAAGTGCTTGCATCCTTTCATAAAGCAACTCAGCTTCAGTCACTTACTATTTTCCTCTGTATCTGTGGAGATAATGTTGATTCCAGTAAATTTGCTGGTTGAAACTGGGAATATGGGCTCAACCAGAACCAACTATCATGCTAGAATTTAGGCAGTTACGGAAATGGCCGTTTCATTCGGAACCTCGGTAGTTGTGTCTTTCAGTTAATGAGGTAGTAATTTAAAACTGATTTCTCTTGGGATACGTGTGTAGATAGTCCTAACCTTACTTTTCTACAGATTTCGTATTAGCTTAATGAAATATTAAAACAGTTGTAAAACTAGATGACTTATTTACTGTGGGAAGCTTCATTTTCTTTTGGAAAAATGGTAAAAACAGAGAAAAAAAGAGTCTCCAGAATACATATTTGAAAGAATTAGTAAGTGGGCTAGTTTTAAGAAATACTGGATTGACTTCTGAAAGTCACAGTCCCTCACAGAAGTGTCTTGCAGTTACATGCTACTAGCTACAAAACTTGATTTTCAGAAGTCAGTCCAGTATTTTTACATTTTAAGTTCTGCAGGTGACAAGGTGTATTAACAAGGGAACATACAAAGAAACTTAAAAATGGTAACTGGACTTGAAAGGAACATTGTACTGTGCATTGATCTGTTCATAATTTTACAGGAATTGCTTAGCAGTGGACTGGCTGTGATGGGTTAAGATTAAAAGAGAAAATGTACAGTGGTCACCCAGAGTTCTGCCAGTGCAATTTGTAAAGATCTTGCAATGATTCCTGTGAAAAAGAAGCAGTACCTCAGGAAGAAAAAAAATAGACTGGGCTGAATGAACAACTCTTCACATTCATAAGAGTTTATTACTTTTCCTCTCAGTATCTCGGGCTGATTTACAAGTCTTAGGCCCACAAAGTACTGTAGGCATATCTGAGACTCATTACCTGTCTCTGGAAAAGAAAATAGCAAGGGAGCATGGGCAGAGCGGGAAGTGAAAAAGAGAAGACTGGCAGCTATGGAAGTTTGCATTTTGACTCCATCATCAAATAAGAAATTATGTTTTGTTTTGTTTTGTTTTGTTTCATTTAGAGGGAGTTTTCAGCATCATTGTTGTGAATGAAAAACACAGTGCAACTTATTCAAATGTAAAGTATTCCTTGAATAGTGAGCGATTCTTTGGGGAATTTGGGATTGATTGTAAATATTTTTTGAAATGTAATATTCTGACCTTTTTGATTTAACTGGCCTTACTTATCGGGTAAAACAACAGCTGAAATTTTAAGAGAGTTTGTGTGTGAGGAAACTGGGGTTTTAAGCTAAGATAGTAATGATTTTTTTATCTTCTTGTTACAAATAAGTTCATGTTACATTTCTTGTGATTCAGACATCATCTTTAATACATCTGTATATTGTGGTTTACTGGCTGAAGGTGTCAGTAATGTGACACTTGACTTATTTTGGTGCTCTTCAGTTGGAAATTTGTGGGTGTCAGAGGTTTAAGGACTCATGTTAAATGTGGAAGAATTATCATTAAAGTATATGGACAAATTTTATTTTACGTTATCCTAAGTGCATGTGTAAGCATCAGTGTTTCTCTTCTCTGTTTTAAACTGGTCTTTGAAAGATGGATAATGTTTCAAATTGCCACTACAGAGAAAAGTTTTTTTCTACGCCTTCCCTGCAATATTCCATATGTTAACTTAAATTTTTTTTTTTAATCATTTGAAGTCTGGATTTCATTGATTTAATCCCTGTCTTGCAGTGAGATACTGTTCTTGTAAGCATTTTTTCCCCTTAAGGTTTTGATACGTGTCCTCAATTCAAATGCTAGTTCAAGCATACTTTGTTCAGAAAAGCTGGAAGTCCTATTCCCTCATTAATAGACCACTGTACTTGTTCATGCCATAATTGCACCATTTGTAAAATGGGTGTAATGATACTAACCTCTTTTCAGAAGGCTTTGTGAAAAGTTATATAATAGTGCTTTCTCTGTGTAGAAAGAATTAGGTGACTTTGGTAACGTTTTATTATTTTATCTACAAATTGGTAGATAGTTCTCTTTTTCTGGTTTGAGTTGCCCTGGAAATGTCAGGGCTAGAGTTTAACTCTTCGCTGTAGGAAGTAGTGCTGATGTGTGTTATCCCCAAGTTTTGGAGTATTCTTATCCAGGGTTTTGGTTTAGACACATCTTTAGTCTCTACAAATCCTAAACAATGATAATAAATTCATTTTTTTCTTTTTGTTCTTGAGTAGTTTCCAGAAAAGGAGTGAAACCTTTCATTTAAAGCAAGCACCAGAAATCATTGTTTAGTTTGGATTTTTTCAGTAGTTTACAAATCTGTGTGTAATGTAGAGATGTTATTCTAATCTAAACCCTGGACATTCCTTGGAAAAAGAAAATCACGTGATTTGATTAGACTTCTTCCTTCTCTGCCAGCGCTCAGAGACTAGCAGCATGCTGGAAAGAGGCATTTCCCGGGGAGAGAGCGACTGATTCATATTAGCTCACCGCCTTCACTCGCCATGGAAGCATTCCAGCATCAGCTGCTCAGTGTTATTGGGGGTCTAATCTGTTTCTGCACTCTGGTAAAATGCGTCAGATTTATGAAATATATTTTCCCACGTATCTGGAGTGCTTTGCCTCAGAC